CCCACCTTCTATTTTTTTTTGTAAGATTGATTTGAAGAGGGAAAGACCAAAGAGAGCTCTTCCGTCTGCTGGTTCACTCCCCAAGTGGCTACAGTGGTCAGGACTGAGCCAGGCAGATGCCAGGTAAAACATCCCAGCTAAAGCTGCTGGGACATAATACAGGATGCCACTGTGCCATAATGTTGCAGGATTTTTGACTCCGAGTATGGCAGCAACCTCAAATTCTTGTCTCGCAGGAAAGAAGAATTTTCATGCGGACACAGTTTAGTTTTAAAGCAGGATTTATTAGAAAGGCTGAGAAAAGAAGACTCCTGTCCTAGCGACGGGAGGGGGTTTTGAGATAGAAAGGACCCTTACCTCCTGCCATAGTGTCAGGAGGACAAGAAGCAAAACCCTAGTCCTCTGCCATAGTGGCAGGAGAAGAATAAGCAAAACCCGTATTAATGGTGGGGAATGCACCTTTTAAAGGTTTCCCTCAAAGATGTTTCTCCATGAACAAAGAAAATTCCTAGTTTCCATGGTACCTGGCCTTGGGACAAAAGGCCACAGAGGTGCCAGACATAGGACATTCCAGGCCTTGGGCAGATGTGTATTACTTCTTCCTGCTCTCCTTTTAATGATAAAGAGATCAGCCTGAGGCCTTCCCACAGTGGCCGGAGGTAATGGCCGATACTTCTGGTGGGGAATTGATATGCTAATAGCACCCCATCCCTTGGAAGAGATGTGCTCTGGTGAGTTCAAGACATGGTGGGGAATTCCCTAACTGCCTACTACCCACTCTAACTCCTCTCTCAGTAACACCAGCCTCTTTGCTGTTCTTTCATTTAAAATGTATATTTAATTTATTTGAATGGCAAGTGACAGAAAACTGTCAGCTGGGTCAATTCCCAGATGGCCATAAATGATTGGGGCTGGGTCAGCCAAGCCAGGGGTTGGGAGCTACTCTGGGTCTCCCATTGTTGGGGGGTGGGCGGACGTAAGGTGGGTGCGTTAGCAGGGAGTTAGCGCAGAAGGAGAGCACCCAGCTGCTAACTTGGGCTGCCCTAGATGTGGGCCTTGCAGGCCGTGGCATAGCCTGCTGCCGTATGGGATTGTTCATTTCTGTACACAGCATGTGACTAGGATGTGTTGTTACAACTCGCAGGCCTTAGAGCCAGGGCGCTGGTGCTGTGGTGTTTTTGCCTGCTGATGGCATCGGTGTGTAGCACTCTCAGGGTTAGTGTAGATCTAGTCTGGGGACACTCACACACTGGTCTGTGTGAGCAGAGAAGTTTAGCTACACATCAGGTTCGGTTCCCACCAGGTGAATGATGTGTTGCTTTGCACGCTCAGCCTTGATGAGGCCCAGGAGGAGCAACCCCAGTTTTGGTTTGCTGCCACAAGAAGTCCCGCCTGTGGATGGGCCCCTGCTCTGAGACTCCAGGAGCCCTCGGCCCTCTGCCTCACTCACACGGTGCTCTTCCAGGACACAGGGTTAGATAGGCCTTGAGTTTGTTTTGCTTGGGGAGGGGGAGTATTTTGATTGATTTTGGAGGCCTCTACCAAGATCTTCCATCCAGCTGGGAGTGTCAGGGAAGTGGCTGCTCTTCCTTACTTCCTGCTGTGCAGCCCAGGCCTCAGCAGGGCCTGAGGGGACAGCCTCCAGGCAGCAGATCAGGCACTGGGCTGTCTGGCAGGCATCCTTTTCTTCTTTTCTCGTCTGTGTGCCCCTCCTGAAGGCACCTACTCAGCTAGAGTCAGAGGGAGAGGGGGACTGCCAGAGGCCCTGTGAAGGTAGAGGGTCTGCCAGGGAGGTGTGGGAGGCTGGGCCATGGAGCAGAGTGCTTGGAGAGCTGCTGCTGTTCCCCTTGTTTCATCAGGGCCCATCCCAAGTTGCTGTCTAGTATGAAGAGATGCCTGTTCAAGTTCTGGAGTATTTTATGCAGATTCACTGAAAACAACTCAGGCAGCCTTAAAGCTCTGCAGCCCCAACTGGGGGTGAGCACAAGACCGAGCAGTGGGGAGACTGAGGTGGCAGAGCATACTGGCCTCTGCCGCTCCTTGTCCTACCCCCACTGTCCCGGTTCTCCTTTGTCTCGGCCCGTAGCTGCACAAAGTGTTTTTACAGCTACATGCTCTTGAACAGGGGGCCATAAGGAGAGTGTAGATGTAGCATTGATACACAAGTCCGTTGTGAACTCATTTCTAACGTGTACTTGTAACATGGGGTGAAAGCAATGCATGCACCTCTGGATGATAATGCCAAGATGAGTGTCCCAGGTTGGCAGGCGAGTTGTTTCTCGTGTGTTCCCATTTCATTGACCCTGTCTGGAAAGGCCTCAGTGGATTCTGATGAAAGTTGTAGAAGCGTTGAGGTGGCCTAGCTAAGAGCAGGCTGTAACCCTTGAGCATCATGACTGACGTGGGGAGCAGTCATCCTCCAGCAGCTGGGCTTAACTCTCCATTCCCAGCTTGAGTAATGCAGAGTTCATGGTGTTTGCAGTGATTTCTGGAAACAGATCTGTGGGTACCCTAAGAGAGAATATGATTCACCCCACCCGCTAGGTATTCTTACCCGTGCCCTGGCTGCCAGCGTAACCCATTCCCGCCGTTGATCCCCAAGTGCATTTAGCCACTGGCTGCTGTCAGTGGACCATTCCTGCTTGGCCTCTGGGACGAATTCCAGTGTGTAACTTCTTTTAAGCAAGTGATCCTAAGAGGAGAGGGAATTGAGCTCAATTTATGCCATCTAATAACCTTGGTGCAACACAGACCTGTCCCCAGTGAATCACAGTGCCACCAAATCTGGTTAAGGCCAAATGTCATGGTGCGCCTCACAGGTGCCTGGAACTTGGGTAAAGGAATAGGGCATTTTTGGCCAGATGTTGAATCCTTGGGTTGCTAGAGACGATCTCAGGGGAAGTTGTTGCATTTGTCACTTCCTGTTTACTTTGGCAGACACAGCTGGCTGCCTCTGCTTGGCAGAAGGCAGGCTGAGCCAACAGTGGAACCTCGACCCTGCACATTGCTCTGCCTTTAGCCAGTGAACCAGGAGCTGTCAGTTTCAGTGGCCACCCATTTCCTGTTCTCCTGATTCAGCCTGTGCCATTGGTCAGAGACAAGTGTCCCCAGGTCCTCTGAGGCCTCCAGGCATGGCAGGGGGCAGAAGAGCCCCTCCTTTTAGGTGCTAAAGGCCCAGAGATATGTCAGGGCTTGGTCACAGAAACAGCTCTATCTTAAACCATCTTGCTCGTGTACCCACTCCACCCCCAGGTGACTCCCTCACCCCGCGTGTCTGGCTCTGAGAAGGCGAGTCTGCTTGTTAGTCAGAGGGTGCATATTGAGGCCATCCACACTTACGCTGTGAAAACCTCTAGGAGAAAGATGACTAGTATCCAGTATCTTCAAGTAATGAACTTATCAGTAACTATAACACTTGAGTTCATTAATCTTAACTTTGCTTTTGGATCAAGTGGGAACTCTGCTTCTCAGGAGACAGAAATTTCATCTCTGTTCTTTTCCTTAAACCCAGTCCCAATTTAGAGTCAAACCTATTGCCCTGCTCTCCCTGGGCAGCTATTAATCATGTGTTTGCTCACACATGGCATGGCCCAGCCCCGCCACCTAGGCCCTGTGCACGTGCCCTCACACAAAGCCTGTGGAGACTCAGTGACTCTTGTCCATCCAGGCCACTTAAGCTGACAATCAACTTCTGACGTCACATCCTGTCTCCACTGTGCTAGGGCTGATCAAGTGGTCACCTGTAATGCTGGCATCACAGTGTGGATGCTGGTTTAAATCCTGGTTGCTTTGCTTCCCATTCAACTTCCTGCTAATGTGCCTGGGAAGACAGCATAGTACTGCCCAGGAGTTTGGGCCCCTGCACCCAAATGGGAGACTGTGAAGAGGTGCCTGGCACAGCCTTGGCCATTCTGACTATTTAGGGAGTGAACTCTGTCCCTTGTTTTGTATAACTCTGCCTTTTAAATCATCTATTTAAGAATTAGGGGTTGGAGAGGTGACCGTTTGTAACGATTGGCCACCATTCTTTATGACTAGATCCGGGCTTAAGAGAAAGAATAAAGGCTGTGGGCTTAGAAAGTGAGTGGGGAGCAGGAGGGCTGGGCAGGCTGCTGAGGGGTGTCTGTTCCTGACACACAAGGAGGGGAAAGGTCGCCTGGTGGTGTAGCCATGTGCAGCTGCCGGGTAGGGAGGTGGTGAGGAATGCCAGGTGCTGTGGTGCCCGTTCTCCCTGAGGGCCAGACAGTGCGCGGCTGTCAGCCTCCTTAAACTGACCAGGAAGCCAGGGGTGCATGGCTGCCTGGCCCTGCACCTACCTGTGGTCTTCCCTCTGCTTCCATCTGGGCCTTCACTGTGGAGCTTGGCTCAAGCCTGCATCCCACCCCTCAGGCTAACCTTAATATTTGCCAAACCATCATCTCCCTTGGCCTCTCTGTTCCAGGAGAGGTCCTGCAGCCTCTGCTGCCGCCTGGGCAGGCACGGGGGGCCTGGGGTGGGGTGGGGGGTTGCTAAGGGAGCTGGAGAGAGGCACGTCTGGCTCTGGAGACGTGTTGCCGGCTGGGCCTCGGTTTGTAGGCTTCCCTTTCCCAGCACTTGAGACCACTCTTGCGGGTTGTGGTTTGATAGCTGCTGCTATCCCTGTAAGGAGGCAAGGATGGAACTGAAGCCAGAATCGTTTCTCCTTCCTTGTCTCCGGGAAGGGGTGGCATCCTCTGACTGCTGTTGGCCAGGGGAGAACCGAGTGGGGGGGGGGGGGGGAGGCGGGTTATGGCTGCACGCTCTGGAGGTGGGGAGGTGTCCGCCCCTCAGAGACCCGGGCAGGGAGTGCCTCAGGGTGACCACTGCTGGTGCACCCTCCTTTGCTCCCACCAGGATCCCAGACTGACTTGCACAGGGGGTGGGCAGGGGGTGGCCCTGGGTCACAGGGAGGGACCACGGGAAGCTGAGGCATCTGGAGCCACCCTAACCCTCCCCCTCCCGCTTCTCTCCTGCTGCTGCAGGTTACGTGTTCTGTATGTTACATCGCCTCCCCGAGCAACATGACTGTACGTTCGACCACATGGGCCGCGGCCGAGAGGAAGCCATCATGAAAATGGTGAAACTGGACCGGAAAGTGGGGCGCTCCTGCCAGCGCATCGGGGAGGGGTGCTCCTGAAGGCCTGGCGCGGCCGCCACGCGACGCTGTTCTTAGTTCACTAATGTTAGCCTTATGTAGGACAACGTCAGCCAGACACCTTGTACTGGGCACGCGGCAGACTGCAGCCAGTCCATTTTCTTTCCTTAGCCAGCCATCCTGGTACTGTAGTTTAGGGGTTGATGGTGAAATTGATTTCTGGCTGGTTACTAAGGTGCCTGCTAGCCATTGTATAAAATTAAAACATGAAGAATATTTTTTTTGAGCATGGCTAGTGGACTTAAACCAACAACACATACCTGTCACTGCTGGAGTCCAACTGAGTAAGCCTTAAGCGGAGAATGCTCCGGATGGAGACGCGAGGTCACAGGAAGACGCTGGTGTGAGCTCCCACGACGCACACGGCTTTGCCAGAAACTGTTTAGTGTTTGGCCTTTCACCTCTTCACTTGTCCTTAGCCCAGTAGCCAGGAGACCTGACGGCCACGTGTGCCTTGGCCACAGGGGCTGCTGGGATTGGCCACGTGGCTGGGCTGGATGGTAGCCTTGCTCTCCCACAGGGCTGGAAAGAGGGGAGGGGGGAGGTTCTTAGGATTTTTTTTTTTTACCTGATTTGCTAAGAAAAACTCATCACACAAGAGGAGAAACAGTAACCTCACTTTGAAATTAGCTCCACTCAAGACTAGTCCACGCCCGAAACCCACTTTTCTACACAGGATCCGCGGTCATGAGCAGCACCAGGGCGAACCCTGGCCCTGGCGTGCCATCGGCCAAGTGCAGGGATCTGGCCGTTGACCAATATGGCCGATGGCAGCACAGCACCTGTGCCTGGGGTCAGACTGGCCTTGCAGCTGGATTCCAGGTGGGAAGGTTTTTTGTAAAGACGTTTCATAGCCGCCAGGAATCAGTAGAGGTGCTGGGAGCAGCTGCTCTCAGACTCTGCCGTTTCCCGTTTCCAGCTGCTGCCTGCTCACCGCAGGCCGACGCTGGAGGACGCTGCCGTGGCCTCCACTCTCCTGTCTATGCAGCCCCCTCGCCCAGCCAGGGCCAGCCGGGCACACCTGTCACGTGGCAAGTTTAAGGAAAGGCAGCCCGCTCCCCGAAGTCAGTGGGTTGTGACTGGAACAGTGGCTGTGGCCATGGCCCAGCCTCAAGGAGCAGGGTGTGGGGGGTGGGTGTGGACAGGCCTCTGTTCCCGGGCAGAGCTGAACTCGGGCCGGCCAGCCCACCCCGTGTTCAGAAGTGGTTACCAGTCAGCTGGGCTGGGGCTGGTAGGCAGAATAGTTAGGATTCTCTTGAGAGCCTGGAAGTGGGCGAACAGGGCCAGCGTCCCACTTGATCCAGGCTGGCGAGGTGGGAGGCTCCAGCAGAGGCCGTGTGGATCCGCCCTCACACAGCTACTGAGGGACTAGCTAAACCCGGCAACTTTCCTTTTTATAAAGCAACAGATGGTTGAACTGTGTCTGCAGAGTGACTGCTGGACATCTGCGACTACAAACGCTTCTTGATCCGAAATACTGAAACAGGAAATCATGCTCTTCCCTCCCTCCTCCCCCAACCGCCCACCTCCCAACCAGAGTGGAACCCGCTGCAAAATCTCCAGCCTTAATTCTCGCTTCAGGACCAGACCGGTGTCTTGCTCTAGGGCAGCCCAGGGCAGAGGGGCCAGGTCTGCCCAGCGTTTACCACTGTTCTGGCCACTCATTGGCCATCCTCAGTGAGGTGCCCTGCCGAGGCCCCCTGCCAAGCTCTGATCCCCAGAGGTCACCCTTGAGCCCTTTCTGGCCTCCTCGGGCCCACCCCAGCCCCAGCCCGTCTGCTGCTTGGAGGCAGCTGGCCACACCTGGAGAACCTGGGCTGGGCTGGGCTGGGCTGGGCTTGTTCCCCTGCAGTGTCTGTTCTGTGAAGTTTGTTATGTGTAAGGAAAGCTTAAATTCTTGTATCTTTAAAAGAGAAAATCTTATTTAACCCTTTTGTGTTCTAGATTTACTTACACACATAGCCTAGAGCTCAGTTTTAGTTTTAACATTGTGAAAATATTAAAAGAATCTTGTAACTTTATTCTTTTTCTCCTGCTGAAAAAAAAAATTAAACCAATCATATGAAAGCTTGGTGTTTTCTGTTGCCCCAGTTCTCCTGCTGCCCCTTGGCACAGCTGGGCCCGCAGTGCTGCACGGGCCAGGCCAGGGCCGTTGCAGCCCCACAGCACTCCAGGAGGGAGGGTGTACTCACCGGGTTGGGAGACTTTGAAAACCCTGTTGGCAGAGGTGGCACCTGGCTCCGCTGCTCCAGGCCAGAGTTAGGAGGATGAGGAAGAACCCTTGATAGAAATCCCAGGTGCCTGGGGGAGGGCAGCACGCAGGTGGGCAGGGAGCAGAGGGGTCCATGGCCTGGCAGCCCTTCTCAGTGCCTTCAGAGCAGCCAAGAGCAGAGGAGGGGGCGGGCATCCACCCATGCCCAGCCAGGGTGTCCTCCACGGGATGCTGAGAAAACACAAGAACTCTGGGAACCACCCCGCTGGGTCAGCAGCACAGAGTGCTGGAAGGTGTTGGTTTCCTGTCCAGGGCTATTGGCCACAGGGCACGACATGGCAGGAGGAAGCGCCCAGTGCCTGCTGTGCTGGCGACCCACCCTGTGCTCTGGCCTTTTCCATCTCTGTGTCCCTCCGGGGATGGACAGGAAATACCTCCTCCCTGTACACCTGGGCAGGGCTGTCACCAGCCAATGGGAGGTGAAATGCGGGGGATCTGCCAGCCCCTCACCTGGGTGTGTGGGCTACTGGGGTCCACGACAGGCTTTGGCACAGTCTCCCAGGTGGTCCTGCCAGGAGAGGTGCTCTACTGGCGGAGCACCGTGTGCACAGCAGGACTGTGGCTTGGAGCAGAGACTCAGTGAAGCGGGACTGCCTCTTGCAGCATCTCACCAAGGCTGTGCACCTGTTGCTCGGGGGGAGGGGGATCAGACCAGTGCTAATGTTGCTACTGAGAGGCAGATTCCAAGGAATCTGCCTGTGTGGGGTGGTGGACTAGCCACATGCTCTTCTGGAACATTCTTCCACCCAGCAGATAGGGGAAGACCCAGTGAGCTTGGATGCCTGCCCAGGACAAGGCCATGCACTCCTGACAGCGTTCAGGATTAGCATGGCTGACACAGCCAGACTCTGATGGCTAAGACATGAAAGTTAAGCTGTTAATGGGTTCCCCACATTTGACACCACTTCTGAGTTTACATGACCGAGCCGATACACCTTGTGAAGATGAAAGAACCCTCCCGCTGTTATCAATAATTCAAAACAGGTTTTTGATCAATCTTGCTAGAGGAACTCGAGTGCAATCTTTCTAGTCTTGGACAGGGTTACACGCACAGCATCCTGGGAAGGATGCAGCCAGACGGCGAGGGAAATCAGCGTCGCAGACGCGTCACAGTGAGGAAAGCTCAGTTTCCACACATTCCAAGTTCCTCAGAAATTGCTCATTGTTCAGTCACCTCTGCATCTCCAGAGGCTCCCAAAGGGTGCAAACTTGGGGTCCTGTGGAACCCACGGGAGTGGAGGGTCCCTCAGTGTGGCGAGGATCCTATTGCTGGGTGCCAGGCTGGGGCAAGGTGCTGGCTGGCCACACCGGCCTGATGGGGCAGCGTGACTGACTGGGCGCAGTCATCTGGAGTGTGTCCTGAGGGTGCCATAACAGTGTGTGGCACTTTGTGGCCACAGGGCTGATCCGGTCTGCTTGTCCCCGGCCACCTGCAGAGTCGGACGCCTGGAGCCCAAGGCCTGCAGTGAGAGGGCTGCTGCTCACGGCCCTGGGGTCCCGCAGACACCCTAACAGGAGGCAGGAGGATGCAGAGTGGAGCCGTACGCACCTGGGGAACATACAGTGGTATAGCCAGAGTGGAAAACTGCATGCTCATTTCACAGCGGGACTCAGCGATTCCACCGCTATGACTGTCTGAGGTGACTGAAGGCGGGACTGCAGATAAGTGCATGTCACCAAGAGATTAGAACAAGAGGATGGGGGAAATGGCAGAGGTGGGTGACAGCCACGTTCAGTGAGGTGCAGTGGAGTGAACCCCAAGAACACATCAAGAAGGAGAAGCCAGACACAAAGCTCACCTGTGGTGTGCTGTTGTCAGTGGGAGACACGGGGAGAGGGGCATCACTGGGACAGGACAGACCCCGGGCTGCCTGGAGACTGGGCTCAGGATGGCAGTAACTGCTTGAGGGTCTGAGTTCTCTTTCGGGTGAGGGAAATGTGGAACAAGTTAAAGGCGGATGCATGACATGGGGGTATGCCAATTGCCATTCCATTCAAGTGTTCTCTCTCAGTGGCAAACTGCCTATCCTCCAAGTCCAAGGCCAGCTCACTGGGGAGACCACAGGAAGAGACCAGACGGGCAGGGGCCTGGTGGCAAACTAAAGTGGGTCTGTAGGTGCCAAGGGATATGGTAACCAGCTGTTCTGACCAGTCCTGGCCAACCTGAACTCGGCCTGAGAAAAAAAAACCCTGCTTTGATGCTACAAAGTCCTGGGATGGCATTTCAGGAATGACAGGAGCCCAACTTCCCCAGCTGAGTGTGGGCTCCGAGAGGCGGTGCTGCTGGCGAGGGCAGGAGAGGCAGAGCCGTGGGGTAGCAGCCTGGGGCAGAGGGGCCAGGGAGGCACGAGGCCAGCAGGACAGAGTGGGGAGGTCCTGCAGCCTCTGCACGGTGTGGGCCAGTCAAGGAAAGGGTCTATTACCTTCTGGAGCCCCTCAAATGGGCTCTGCTGCTCTCATGGCCCTCCCTACGCTTGGCACTTCCAGGCAACCACCCCAGGTGTGGCGGCCAGAAGCGCTCCTCCCTCCAGCCTGTTCCCCAGCTGAGGGACGGGAAGGTGCGCAGTCCGTGGCCGTGCAGGTGCAGGGCTCACGAAGACGTCCACACCCAGGCCCACCCTGGGCCAAGTCGGCATCTGAGGCAGGAACCAGAGCTCCCAGGCAGTTCCTGTCACTAAGTGCTCCTGCTCCTCACCGCCACAAGGCACCAAACGACGAACCTGTTGACAGCCATTCAACACTTGATCCCACAGGCCAACCTCCAGGAACAGCCCTGCGTGTCACTTAGGCCCCAGCACAATACCAGTGAGTCCAGATGGAGACACTGCTGTCCTAACACACCCAGGGAACGACAAAGACCCCAGGCAGCCAGAGCAGTTGAGCAAAAAGCACAAAAGTGGAGGCATCAGAGTGCCCGGCCCCACAATACGCCACAATGTCATGGTCGCAGTCACAGTGAGATGCTGACACCGGGCAAGCCTAGGGGAGGTACAGACACAGCACGGCCTTTCCAGGGTAGATTTCCAACAGGTGCTCAAACTGTGCTCGGGGGGAGGGACGGTAGGTGGCCCTGGGAAAAGCCAATGCCACACGAAGGATGAAATTAGAGCTGGCAACATCACTGTGCAATCAGCTCAAAATGCATCAAAACTACCAGGGATTAAAACAGAGGGAAAGCTTCCTGATCTGGGTCTATGCAGATTTTTTTTTTTTTTTGATAGCTGAAAAGGACGAGCAACAAAAGCAAAGGCAAATGGAGCGACATTAAACTGAAGAACTGCACAACAAAAGAAATGTTGAAGACACCTCCTATAGGGCGAGAGAACATATTTACAAACCACAGGACCGGGCGCAGTCGCTGGCCCCACGTGGGGTGCCCACTGCCCAGAGCAGCGTCTGGGTTCACATCACAGCTTCATCCTGGGAGGCAGGTGGCTCAACTGATTGGGTCTCTGTCCCCCCCAGAGACCTGGACTTGTGGGACAACTGGGAATGTGAGATCACAGTTTCTGCTTTTCAAATAATTCTTAAGAAATCCAGCTTTAAAAATGGGTGACAGGCATTTCTCCAAATAAGTCATAGAAGTGGTGATGGGTTTCTGAGACCGAGTGCTGCATTACTAACCGTCCAGACACGCCGACCAGAATCAGGATATGCGTCTCCCCCATGTTGGATGGCCTCTGCTAAAAAGGAATTTTGTTGGCACGGTGTGAGTGGGAATTATGACAGCAGAACTGTTAAAACAGTACATGGCATCTATAAAAACACTAAGAGTAGAACTGCTGTGTGACCCAGCAAACCAGCATATAAGCAAAGGCAGTGAGGGTGTGGAGACCTCTATATTCCCACATTTATTGCTAAGATCCATGGAATCTACCCCAAATAACCACCAACTGATGAATGTATAAAGGAAATCTATACATAGAATATTATTCGGACCTGGCGGCGTAGCCTAGTGGCTAAAGTCCTCACCTTGAACTCGCTGGGATCCCATATGGGCGCCGGTTTGAATCCTGGCAGCTCCACTTCCCATCCAGCTCCCTGCTTGTGGCCTGGGAAAGCAGTTGAGGACGGCCCAAAGCCTTGGGACTCTGCATCTGTGTGGGAGACCTGGGAGAAGTTCCTGGCTCCTGGCTTTGGATCGGTGCAGCACTGGCCATTGCGCTCACTTGGGGAGTGAATCATTGGATGGAAGATCTTCCTCTCTGTCTCTCCTGCTCTGTATATCTGATTATGTAATAAAAATAAATCTTTAAAAAAAAGAATATAATTCAATCATTCAAAATGTGAACTCTTCGTTTTTAACATGGACTGAACTAGGGAACAGTGTTAAGTGAACTAGGCCTTGTACAGAAAGACAAATACTGTGCGACTTCACTCACATTTGAATCAAGGTTGATCTCACAGAAGTCGGGAGAATGGGGGTGCAGGATCTCAGGGCACTGGTGCTGCGTCTGCTCCTTGGCTGTAGTTACCAGGGAAGGGGAGGGTGCTGGTCAGTGGGAATAAAGATGCAGCTAAACCAATGGAGATGTGAATCAGCCCTCCTGGATCAGTGCACAACCTTGTTCCCAGGCATCAGACCACAAAGTCCCCCGAAAGGCAGACAGGTAGTGTGTGTGACCCGTCAGAGGCCCCGCAGTTAAGACAAAAATGAAGATGCACAAATCCCTTACCAGAGTACCTGGACTTGGTGCTCACCGTCCGCTCCCGATCCCAGCTTCCTGTTAACTGCAAGTCCTGGGCAGCTGCAGTGAGTGCCCTCCAGTGCTGGCCTCTGTGCTTGGCTGGAGAGTGGACCAGCAGAAGGGAGCTCTCAAACAGGAAGGGGAGAGGGATTGTGGGAAGAGGGGACCAGTGTTATGGCATAGCACGTTAAGCCACCAGTTGCGATGCCAGCCTTCTGTGCCTCAGATCCCTCCCGGAAGGTAGCAGATGGCAGCTGAGGTCAAGCTTGGATGCTGCCACGTACGTGGGAGTCCTGAGTTGGGTTACACTTTCAGCCCCGTGGTTCTGAGCTTTGGGGCAGTAAACAGGGATATGAGAATGCAGATGATGTCAGAGCTTCTGGGGGAATCTCAGGAATGTCTCCCCAACATTTTCCCCTTTAACTCCTGCACAAGTTGGGTGTCAGCTGTGACCAGTCACATCTGCCTTGGCCCTGGATGGCATGGTTTGCTCCTTGGAGCTATGACGGGGTCAAGCCACCTTACAGGAGCTGATCCTGTTGGCTGGTGGCAGGCAGGGACCAAGGCCAACTGCTGACCATCCAGTGGTTGTGGCAGGGAAAGAGCAGGTGAGCTTGACAGAGGCAGCTGGGGCCACAGGCCTGTCCCCCGGCCTGGGTGGGCCTTTCCTTGGGCTGCCTCTTTCGCCTCCCCAGTTTCCTAGGACTGCTTGGTCAGCTCAGAACACCCAGCCCCGCACTCCCTCTGCTGACCATTCTTTGGTTCAGGCAGCACTGACGAATGCCCTACCACCCAGAGGCGAGTATGCATGGCCACTTGGTCACAGGGAACCACTGGCTTCTCCACCATCACACCAAACCCAGACACAAAACTGCTGCTGCTGGCTGCCAGCGACAGCCTGCTTGTCTCATGCCACAAAGTCTGAACAATGCCAGACGCAGCACACCTTGGCTCCATGCCAGGTACAGGAGGTCCCCGGCCTGTGCTAGTCTCCACGCCCACCCCACCCCTCCAAGACAGCCTAATTCCCGTGGATGAGGCTCCTGTTGACCAAACTCTTGTTCTGCTGGGGCAGTAGGCATGATCTGGCTTGTGACACTGTGAGGAAGTTGCTGTACTTCCTGCACAGGTGGTGAACTTGACCACCTTGTAGTTTGTATCATTTTCCTTTAAATGCCTATTGGAGGCAGCCAGTGCTTCCCGCACAAGGGCACACCACCCACAACACCCACCCGCAGTGACCCCTCCGGCTACAGCTGGGCGAGCAGCCCCACCAGGCCCACCCCTGCCTTCCTGCCTCTTGTTGGATCCCACCTCCTGTGGTTCTCCCCTGCAGCAGCCAGAGGCCAGTGAAGGCCGGCCCCTGGGCTCTCCTCCTGTAAAGGCGCCCCCACGGCCTGAGTCCCAGTCCTTGGTGCCCAAGTGCGGCTTTGCCCAGCTGTCCCTGGACCCACCTGTGTCCTCACAGAAGTGCTGCTGCCCGTCACCGCAGGCAGGCAGCACTTGCGGCTATTTTGTGTTTTTGATTCTTGCTACGTACCGGCACTTTGGCAGTCGCCTGGCAGGGGCTGGGCAAGCGGGAGGGGCGGGTGGCATGGCGGAGCCCACACACTCTGGATCTGGTTCCATCCTGTGTGGTGCTTACGTGGCTGACCCCCATGGTGGGCTCTGGAAGATGCACGTGGCAATGTCCGTGCGAGGGCTTAAATGGCTGCGACACAAAGCTCCAGGGCTGGGCTGACAGCAGAGTCCTGAATCCATCAAGCAATGACACCGAATGGGAACAGATACTTGATTTTCAAGTGACAGTGGCTTGGTGTGAGGCCAAGGTCTGAGACGGCCACACACAGCAGGTGCAGCGCCTCATCCGTGAGCTCACACTGCTCATGAGGTGCGACACCAACCTCTGACACGTCCCCCGTGGGAGAGAAGGCATAAAGGAGAAGATGGCTGAGTCTGCACGCAGGGCAGGAACAACGGGGAGCTGGCGTCCAGTTCCAGATGACAGGGAGCTTTCTTCTCAAATGGTGTTGACTGAGCCTTGGAGTATGGGCGAGAGCAGAGGCTAGGCAGCAGCCCGAAGGGCCGCCACACGCAGCAACTGGGCATGGCTGGGCCCACATCAGAGGCTGTATCCCTGCTTCCAAGGCAGCTCGGGACACCAGGGCTGAGGAGACAGTGTCCCTGAAGGACCCGGGGTGAGGTGCAGGGGTGAGTGGGGTGCAGGGGTGGGTGGAGGGAGCTGCAGAGAGCAACAACACAGGCATGAGCGAGCATCATTTTATTAAACAAACAAAACCTGCAGCAGCGTTGTCACCAGCACAGACTTAAGGTTGTTCTGAGCACATAGCTGTGGCTCTCCTGCTTGGGTGGCTGTACGGTGTGTGCAGGACTCGGCATCCCCCGGGCACACCCGGCCACTCCCCGCTCACAGGCACTTGGGCCTTGGGGAGCACAGCTGCTGTGGAAGTTGCAGCTGGACCACACAGCCACCAGGCTCCAGCAGGAGCACACAGGTGTGAGAGCAAACCCAGGAACCTGGGAGCAGGAGCAGTGAGTGGTCAAGGTGCCTGGCGGAGCCCAATCTCCCAGGGTCTCAGGCTGTCCGTGTGAGGTCCATACCAGGGCTCAGGCGGCTAGGGGGCCGGCTGTAATGGCACAGTGCCTCCTCACCTCCAAGCCAGGCCATGACACCTGTGGCCTGCAGTTCACCATGCCTGCCGTGCTCTCTCCTCCCTCCTGCAGCTCCTGCACCTCCTGCATGAGCAGTTCTGCTGTGCTGCCCACTCTCTGCCTATAGCCAGGGCCGCTGAGTGGCCCAGGTCGTCCAGGCCTGGGCCCATCCCAAGGAGAGATGGGAGCGCAGTCCTGCCTGGCATGCTCTTGAAACCATGAGCTGTCCAGGTCCCGGGGGACTGGTCATTTAATATGTTAATCATCAAGCCACAGCAGCACAGGCCTGTGAACTGCACTTCAGATTTCCAGAGCCACTAATGAGTACTGCACCCCTGCTGGCACTGCCGTCAGGATAAACATGCACAACCGATTGCTGTGGCCACAGAGCTACCCGGAGCGTGGCCCGGGCCTGCCCCCGCTGGCACCACGCGTGCCAGGAGTGATTACAGCAGCAATGCGGGAGAGACCAGGAGAAAAGGGGCGAGTTAGGGTCTCCCTTCCTTTGGTACCTTTCCCCTGTCCCATGGGTGCTGTTTGCAAGGAGCCTGCCCGGGGTGCCTTCCCCTCACACAGCTCCTCATGGGTCAGCACGCCATTCCTGTTACCCTGGACTTTAACCCTCAGGGGAGGCCGGCGGGGGTGTTGCTGTCTGCACAACAGTCTGACAGCCAAGCCGGCTGCCCAACCACTGAGTAATTTCTTGCACAATTCAAAAACTTTTTTTCGCCAAGGAATCAGTCTAACAAACACATCCCACTCTTGCCGAAAATAATTTCTTCCCCAACTCTTCCAGGAATAAAATATTTTAAATGTCTCTGTCAGGAATCGGCACTTCACTTAATATGGTAAGAAAAGTGACCACTGAAAAGGCCCCCAACAGCCACCTCGGGCTCATGGTGGACCTGACACACCTTGCCCCGGGGCCTTCAGGCCCAGGCCTGAATCAGGAAGCCATCTGGGAAAGGTGAGGCAACCAGCAGGACCAGGAGCCGCCCAGCCAGGGGCAGGGAGTCTGCGGGGCCACGGCAGCCTGGGGCGGCCCATCTCTGGTCCTCCCCTAGTTGTGGTTGCATCCTGTCATCTTCCCCTTCCTTCTTCACAGCCAGTAAGAAGGGTGTGTCCTTCAGGGGCCAGGAGGGGAGGGGGTGGGCAGCTGCACATCCAAAGCCTTCCCAGCAGGCTGGGGGCACCTGTGCAGTCTTTCATGCTGCAGCAGTTCCCAGAGCCTGGGAGGGCAGCTGGGCTGTGTGCTCGGGAGACACGAGGGCCTGGCATGGTTCTGCATCTCGCCGCCAGCCCACCCACCTTCCCCAGGCCATGGGTCTGGCTCCAGGTTGGCTCCAGGCTGGGACTCCAGGCTGGGGCTCCTGGGCATGTCTAACAAGAAGCCCTGGACAAGCTCGTTCAAGACATTCCACACCGACCTGCCGCTCATGCAAACACCATGTGCTCCTTGCTCCTGCTAACCGGTAGCAGCAGCTGGACAGAGCAGAAGGCTCCCCAACACCAGCGAGCACCCCACACTCCTCACAGGTACCTGCCACCACCCCAAGGGGGCCTCCACTCTCCCCTGCACACAGTGGGACAGAGGTGGAAGTGCTGAGCGCAGCCTCTTGCTACTGGCACTCACTCCCCATCTGTACACCAGTGGGCTCCTGGGTTCGCCCATGGCCCATCACCCACCGGTGGCCAGTGCCTACCACAGCCGACAGAGATACCTCAAATCCAGACTGCGAGGAGACATCGCCAACACACTGGCCCTTTCTGGCTGCCCCACCCACATGTTTACGACCCAAGGAAGCCATTGCTGAGCCTTCTGGGGCCTTAAACCAGGGCCTGGGAGTCCGTGGTGCACGGTGCAGACGCGGGGCTTTGTAGACAAACACTGAGCCAGGGCCAGTGGCACTGGAGTGGAAGTGCTCAGGGGAAGGATGTACCAGATGGAGCCCCAAAGTCAAGCAGCAGCCCTTCCACGGGGTGTGGGAGGAAAGCTCCCTCCACTCCCCGGCTGAACCCCAGGGGGCTGAGCCACAAGCTCAGGTTGCTTCTGGTCACCAGGAGGGGGGTCACTGCAAGCCTGGTGGCTAGGGTTCCTGGTTAGCAGCTGGTACTGTGACTATGACCTCCCGAACACCGAGGCTGGGCACCTTAAGGAACAAGAGGTTGGCAACTAAGCAACCACAGACCAATCTGTTCATGGTGTATTTTTGTGCAACTTCCTCAGAGGCCTTTTCTCCTCAGCCCAGGGACCTTGATGGGCTGCAACTGTGCCTTGTTCCCCAGCCAAGCTCCGTGGCTCTCAGCTTCTCCCACGGCAGCGCTCAGTGCTGAGGGCAGGAAGTAGTAGAACAGTCAGAGGGACCATGCCAGGTACTCCACTGCTGCAGCATTGCCAAGAAGTCAGGAAGCCGGGGGGCCAACGAGTGCAGAGCAGACTGACAGCAGCCAAGGCTCAGCCGCCGGGCCTGTGTGTTCCCTAATATAAACCATCGGGGAAGCCCATTTCCTGACAGGTCCTAACAGGGGGAGGGGAGCAAGGCCTTCCCTGTGCGCAGGTGCCCCGTGGGGCCTGCACAGCCTCTATCTGACTTCCTTCTGTTCCCCTGGCTGGGGAACGCAGAGGCAGGGGTTTAATGGTGGGACCTGATGAAGACCGAAGCCTGATATGAACAAATCGAGGAGAACAAAGCACACCCTTTCTGTCCTTGGAGAAAACCTGTTCCATGTCCCTGGATGCACTGGGTCTGCTCCTCCCTGGGAGTGAGGGGAGCAGGTTGGGAGGTGGAGATGGTCAGCAAAGACCTCTACCCAGGGAGGAGGCCAGTGTCTGCGGGCGGCACTGCTGTCTCCTCTACTGATGCTGCCGGTTGGGTGAGTGGGAGTTGCCTGGGCTGGGGGGCAGCGAGCTGCCATTGGGGGCCCGCAGGGCATGGGGGTCGAGCTGCTGACCGGCTGCGTTGCTGTCTCCTGTGCTTGGTTCCTCACTGCTCTCCTCCTTCTGGCTGCTCTGCTGCTCCGGACACTCAAAGTGGACGCAGTGGAACACCTGGGGGAGAGAAGGAGAAGACCGTGAGGGGAGGACCCGTGTGCGACCCCTGGGCCACCCAGCTTTGGGGCCAGCCCCGGGGTTAAGGGAAGTCCTTCACATGACCACCCACTAGCCCTGGCAGACCCTGGTGGCAGTGCGTTCCGCTGGTGGGCACAGAGCAAATGGCCCCGCCCCATGGACTCCTACAAAACATGCTCACAGGACACAGAATTGCCCCTTGCTTGTTCATGTCTGCCTCCTGGGTTCTTCTTCCACAGTACCTCACTGGATTCTTGCATCTGGCACTACCCAGAGCCATGGGTGTACTACAGTAGGCTACACTGGGCATGTTAAACAGAGCGAATGACACAGTATGCAGACATCGTGGTGAGCTGTCACATATAAGGGCCAGCTGGGGCATCATTCAGGAGAGGACCTGCACTTGTCCCATGACATAGAACTTGCCCTGGTCCTGCAAGCGCCATGACAGACCCTGCCGGGCAGCCAAGGCAGAACAACCCTCAGCCACAGTGCTCAATGCAGCATGGACAAACACCTTCAGCTTAGAGGAGCTATGGCCACGTGGCTGAGGGGCTTGGGTGGACAAGGGCGAGACAGGGCCTTGACCTTGAGACGATGGCACATGGTCAGGGTGGGACTGAGAGCCACACATACGGTGTGCACAGGAGCTGCAGGAGTAGGGGCTGCAGGGCAGGGTCAGAGGTGGGCAGTGAGGGATGCTGGCTGGTCTACCCCAGCCCATAAAGAGTTTTCTCTTCTGGCTGTCAGCCCATCATGTCCCCCAGGGGACCACTCTGCAGGTGCCGGCCCCGAGCCCCCTCCTCTGCAGTGGGGCCTCAGCCTGAGCCACACAGGTTGACAACCCAAGAAGCAGGCTGCCAGTTTTGAGGGGATGGACTTTTCAGAGGATCCAATCTTCTTTGTTCTAGAAACTGCTTTAAACTCACAGCCTCCAGCCCTCCTTCAGTGCTGCCTGGGCACATAGACCTCACGCACAGTGGCTGCTGGCACTGGATGGGGGCACTTAGGTGCTCACACAGCGATGGGGGAGGGCTAAGGTATGACATGGAATTTTGTCCCGACTTGTGAAGCCATCAGCAGGCTGCACTGGCTAGGAACTGAGGTCAACTCCTTCTCCAATTCACTTTCAGGGCCCGTGCAACCTACTTGGTGGGGGCTAGAACGCACATGACCATCCACCCGTGCCGTCAGCTTTCTGCTCCTAGGAGCCTTTCCTCCTGTCCCCTCAGTGAAGGCTTCTTCCTAAGTCACTTCACTGACTATGACCTTCAACTTTGCGTGAAATGCTTTTTCCACAACTCAGGCCATACTTTTCCCCAAACGTTGCAGCACCAAGCAGGGCTGGAGCCCTGACAGAGCTGTTTCTGAAGCTGCCAGCAGTGAGGCCACTGGGGAGGTGAGGGTGCAGGGAGCCTGAGGGGAACTGAGGCAGGGGGAATGGGTACCACCTAAGACAGGGTCCTACGGCTGCAGACAAAGGCAGCACAGCATGCTGGAGAAGCACCTACAGAGCCCAAGCTCTCCATAGTGCTGCCACAGCCCACAGCATTCTTTCTGCTCTCCACTGCTACATTAGTCAAGGCCAGGATTATAGGGATGCAGCCTGCCAGGCGTGTTGGGTCAGAGTGCGAGTACAAGAGTTACATGGGCCCAACTGATAAGCTGGGAAAGGCCTGAGAGTGTGCAGTGTGGAGAGCAGGGACAGCAGACCACAGGGCACCTGCAGGCCAGGCCACGGGGCTGGTTTCCCTGGTGACCACACTGCTTTTCCTGATACGGGACCTGCCGGCAAGTGAGGAGTCAGTGGACCCTGCACCTGCCCAGCCTTGGGGAGGAACCCACATAGTTGGAGGGTCAGGGCTGGCTGGGTACCCCCTACTCTGCGGTGAGGACTGGATGGGGAGGCAGGGCTGAGGCTGTGAGACTGAGGGGGCAGAGGGGGGCTGCTCCTTCTGGGGGGACACTGTCCTCCCCACCAAGCTCAGTGCAGTGTGCACCTGTGTGTGTACACACACATACTAACACACAGTACACCACATACAATGTGCACATGCAGGCACATATGCCACACATGCCCATGAACTGCAAAGTCAGGTTCATGGAGAAGACGGATGAAGTATCAACTGTGGGAGCATACTGAAAATACAGACTGTGGCCTTCCCTCCTGCAGTACCATCTTTCCCACGTTCAACTCATGTATTTCGCACTGCTTCACATCTCACACAACAAAGTCTAACTCGAACACTGACTGGGGCCTTACATTGGCAGGGCTGCATTCTGCATCCTGGCAGTAACTTTGTGTCCTCCTGGGGCTGATTCCTCTCCTTGAGGCTCAGGTGCTTGGCCACTGTCCCCACATGGCACCTCTTGGAGACCCTCTCTGCCGTGCCTGCTGGGTGCCAGTGCCACTTATCGCTGTGTTTCCTTTCTTCCCTGTAAGTGAAGGCTCACCTGCAGGCACTTGCCCATCAATACCAGCAGGGAGGGGCTGGCTGGCCTGGGCTAGAGAGTACACCCGAGCATGCCCCTTAGGAGGCACCCCTGAACCCACCCTCCTCCTTTGTTTTGCATTCCTAATGCTTCTGAAGCAGCAGGACCATCTCAGGGAGGTGGGGGGAACACACTCTTGGTTCCTCTCATCTCGTAGGAACCCCTCTTATTCAGCACCTGGGCAGGCTCTGGTGGAAAGTGCTCCCTGTCCCACGCCCACTGCTCCAGCGCCTTGTCACCCAGCAAATAGCCCCTTCCCTTTGTACGACCCAGCTGGTCCCAGCTGCCTTCTGAGAGGGAACGAGGCTGTCACGTGGCCTGGGTGCTCACCATGCTGGCTCCCCGGTCACTGTGCGCACTGCTCTCCATGCCCCATGACTCCCTCCAGGGGCTGCTGCTCAGAGCCCAGACACTGACTTGCGCTGTCCCTCTTATTATCTCTTCTCGAACTCTCCTCCTTGCCTTCTGTGCCTGCCAACTTCAGGTAAGGCCTTCTCCCACCAGAGCCTTCAACGCATCTGCCGCCCAAGGCTGCCCCCTCCTCGCTCTGTCAGTTCCTATCTGACTCAAGGATCAAGGCTTGTTTATCCTCTCCCGCTTGCGGCCTTGCACGAGAATAAACAAATCAATACAAAGCCTGGGCTGAGAAGCAACCAGCTCAAGGGGCTCTTGCTGAGGGTGCCTTCTCCAGGATGCACCTCTGTCCTGGGGAAGGGTTCCACACACAGTTGCCAAGGTGGCGCTTGGCTCTAGGGAGAACCCCACCCCAGGTCCATGGCCTGACTCCCGCTGACTCCAACACACAGAAGACTATGTCACTGTTAGAGACTGTGAAGCAAAAGCCTTCCAGCATGGAGGGGAGGGGTGCCCTGGGGTAAGCAAGGGCTGAGCCCATGGTGAGTGCTGCAGTGGGGCAGGCTGAGGGCAGCAGGGGTCAGGGCTGGGAGAAAGGCTGTGTCCAGGGGGCAGAAGGCAGGATCTGTGTGCCTCCAGCCCCTGTGGGAGGTCCTGATCCCCTTGAAAGTGCAACATCCACATGCGACTAGGAGCCTGGTCCTGCAGGAGGGGGTCTGGGACCAGGAGACATTTCTGGGTGAGCAGACACACTGGCAGGACAGGCAGCCAAACAAGGGAAGGTCTGAGGACCTACGCTTGAGGAACTGGGAACAGGAGCGGCAGAGGCAGGACCAACCTGTCCTGGCAGCAAACGGCGGCAGAGAGCAAAAGGCAGCAATTTGCAGACACAGGGCACTTCAGTGCAGTGCTGGCCTGGCCAGTTGGGTGCTGCTGCTCCTCACCTTGACGTACCTGGGCTTCATACCCATCTCTGGGTCCTGCTAATGCCCACCCCAAGAGGCCTTGGGGAAAGCCCAGGCAGTTGGAGCTCTGCTACCCACATAGGAGATTTGGAATCTCCTGGCTCCCAGCTTTGGCCTAAACTAGCCCAGCCCTTCCACTGCAGGTACCCAGGAAGTAAGCAGCAGGTGGGAGCTGCCTTAAAAGTTAAAAACCCAAAGCACTAATGTTTATTACATCAACAAATATTAGAAACAATATATATTCGTGGTGATAAATTAAAATAATGCAAATATTTGAAGAAAGTAGGGCTGGCACTGTGGCAAAGCTGCTCCCTCTGGCACTGGCACCCCATATGGGCACAAATTCATGTCCCAGCTACTCCACTTCCCTAAGTTCCTGTGCCACAACACTCACGTAGGAGATCTGGAAAAAGCTCCTAACTCCTGGCTTTGGATCAGCTCAGCTCTGACCATTGCAGCCATTTCGGGAGTGAACCAGCAGACAAAAGATCTCTTTCTGTCTTGTTCTTTCTCTAGTTTTTTTTTTTTTTCAAGTCAATACATAAACCTTTATACAAAAAAAAAAAAAAAAAAGAAGAAGAAGAAGAAAGGAAGCAAGCAAACAGCAACAGGGCCTCACACCATGGAACCCCCTCATTTTTTAGTATATATGCTGCTGAAGTGAGCCAGACCATGGAATCCCAAGGTAACACCTGGCACTCTGGAATAACTAGCAAGAAATAACTTTCCAGAAGAAACCATCAGGATTTGGTCATTGACCTGGGAAGGCTGATTGATAAAGGAAAGAAAAGGGGCCCCGTAGCCCTGAGGATCCTCTGAGAGCTCATGGGCCTGCAGGCTGTGGTGCTGCAGGAGGTGGCAGCAGTGGCCCTGGGGGTCCAGAACAGCCGGAGTTGGGGAGGGGAGGGTGTAAACACACCAAAGATTCTGCAACACTTTTGCTCTTCTTTGTCTTCCATCTTTACAGCTGCAGTGGGCACAGACTCTACCTGGTGCATCTTGCATGGCAACTGCTGCCAGGGTGTCACAGGCGGGGTGGGTGCAGGCACCCCCATGCCAGGATGTGCAGGTGCTATTCTGCACACGGGGACTTGGGGCAGGGCGGCTCTGAGGCTGGGCCTTCCTCGCCACCTCAACACACCTGCCTCCCACACATGTAAGCCTAAA